CAATGTTGCAAGGGAAGACAGCATAAGTGGATCTTCAAATACAAAACAATTAAAAACCAATATACCGTATTTTCCGGCGTATAGGGCGACTGGGCGTATAAGACGACCCCCTAATTTTTTAATTAAAAGATAGGGTTTCATCTTATACCCCAGCGCCCCTCCGCCTCCTTTGCTCCCTGTGTCCCTGGTCTGCTGGAGACGGTCCCCAGCAGACCAGAGGCACCGGGAGCAAAGCCGCAGCAGCTTTGCAAAGCCTGGGGGGAAGCCGGCGGGGGGGCAGCCCAGGCGTGCCTGGGATGTATACCCGGCGTACAAGACGACCCCCGATTTTTGGGGGATGTTTTTTAACATCAAAAGTCGTCTTGTACGCCGGAATATACAGTATATACCTTTCCGCTACATATAACATTAAACAATTACTTCCCTGCCCACTCAGTTCCCATCGGACACTGTCTTATCTCCAAGGTTCTCACTGAAGTCAGCATTCCACTCTTATCTTGGAGAGCGCGGCAGAGAGGCGAATGCAGCGTCTCTTCTAGCTCTCGCGTTAGCAGGAGTCAGAGTGAACCAGACTCTTGCTCTGCTACGGACAAACCCTGAAATGGCCACCCAAATCCCCTCTCCCTTAGTCCTGCTTCCACACTGGGAAATCATGCCTCCCCCATCTATTAGAAGTCTTCAAAAGGGTCAAGAAACATGTGGACTAGGGTGATCCAGTAGATATAGTGAACTTGGGCTTTCAGAAAACCTTTAACAAAGCCCCTCACCAAAGGCTTTTAAGCAAAGAAAACTTTTCTGGGATAAGGTGGAGGGTGCTCTCATGAACTGATAACTAGCTAAAAGACAGGAAACAAAGGATAAAAATAAATGGTCAGTTTTCACAGTGGAGAGAAATAAATAGCGGAGTCTCTAGGAATCCATACTGTGTTAGTCAACGTATTCATAAATGATATGGGAAAGGGGTACACACTGAGGTAGCAAAGTTCTCAGAAAATATAAAAATTCTCAAGGTAGGTAAGTCCAAAATGGACTGCAAAGAGTTAAAGGGATCTCCCGAAACTGGGTAATAGAAGGAAAAAAAGTCAGATGAAATTCAGTGTTGATAAATGTGAAGTAATACACATTGGAAACTGTAATCCCAACAATACGTACAAAATGATGGGATCTAAATTAGCTGTTTCCACTCAGGAGATAGATCTTGGGGTTATAGCGAATAGTTCTCTGAAAACATCTGCTCAGTGTGCAATGGCAGTCAATAAAGCTACACTTTTAGCAACCAAGAGGAAAGGGATGGATAATAAAATAGAAAATATCATAATTCCACTGTCTAACGTCAGGGTACATCCACCCCTTGAATACAGGAAAAAGTGCAGAGATAGGCAATAAAAATGATTAGGAGTATGGAAAAAATTCCAGATGAGAAGAGATTAAAAAGACTCTGTCTCTTGAGCTTAGAAAAGATACAAATAAGGAAGGGATATAGCAGAGGTCTGTAAACCCATGAATAGTCTGGAAAAAGTGAATAAGGAACTGTCAATTATTCTTTCACATTACATAAGATCCAAGGGTTACAGAACAAATAAGTGGTAGGTTTAACGCAAAAATAACATAAGAATGGCCAGACCAGATCAGACCAAAGGTCCATCTAGCCCAGTGTCCTGTCTGCCGACAGCAGCCAATTCCAGATGCCCCAGAGGAAGGGAATACAACAGGTAATCCTCACGTGATCTCTCTCCTGTCATCCATTTCCAGACAAACAGAGGCTAGAGACACCATTCCTACCCATCCTGGTTAATAGCCATTGATGGACCTAACCTCCATGAGTTCATCTAACTCTTTTTTTGAACCCTGTTAAAGTACTCGTTGTCACAACATCATCTGGCAAGGAGTTCCACAGATTGACTGTGGAAGTACTGCATTCATTCGCAGTCAACTAGTGGAACTTATTGCCATGAGATGTTTTGAAGGCTAAAAGTAAAAATGGGTTCAAAAAAGAATTAGGGAGAGATCTTCTAGGAATTTATCAATGGCTATTAGCCAAAATGGTCAAGGATGTAACATCATGCTCTGGGTGTCTTTTACCTTCTGACTGCTAGAAGCTGGGACTGAAAGACAAAGGGGAGAATCATGCAATAATTTTTTCACTCCTTTTTTTCACTCCTTCTCAAACATGTGGCACCAGCCACAGTTGGAAGAAGGATACTGGACTAGATGAACCATTGGTTTGACCAAGTGTGGCCATTTTTGTGATAAATAAATGGGATCTTTCATTTGATTATGGAAGTGAAATAATAATGGAAACAGCATAAACCATGAAAAACAATGACAACCAAATCATATACATGTAATTTGATCAAACCTTGTACTGTTTACCTTAAGCTTGGTGTTAACAGTGTATGGGGCCTGATTGTGTTAGCAGCTTGTGTTTTCTTTTACACTTGTGCAGAGAGTACATTTAGGTGCCAGCCACTGCATTTCTTAATTGGTAGAGCTGTAGATCCCCTCTGCATGGGTGTGATTGGCTGCATTAAGGACAGGGCAGCTCGCACTAAAGACCGAATTTCAGTTTAATTTGACATTAGTGCGACATGTATTTTGTTCACTATGGACAAGCAGCGGTGTGACTGGAGGACGGGATTTCTTCTCTATTACATGTAGAGCCATCTGACAGTGAAGTGAGATGTCTTTTTTGGATGCAAAATTCTGCCTTCATCAGCCATGGTCTGAACCTTGTTGTGTCACAGGCCCACTAATGGCAGGGTGGGGGGAGACAAAGGGGGAAATTGCCCTGGGCCCGGCCATTCAAAGGGGCCTGGAAATTCCAGGCTGCTGCAGGAGCGGCGGAAGCAGCGGCCGGAAGACTAGGGCCTCTTTGAATGGGGGCAGGAACTCCAGAGCCTCTCTACCCAGCTTTGAAGGCTGGAGGGGAGGGGTCCAGCACCACAGTCTGGGCGGTGCTAAGGGATGACTGCCCTAAGCCCCGCCCCTTTTGCCCTCAGTCCCACCCCTTCCAGGGTACAGAGTTAGGCCCCTGGTGGCTGTTGGCCCCACTGTTGCATTATGTAGCAGAAATAATCAAAACACAATCTGCAAATGTGATCCTGTTCTGTGACTTGATAAAAAAAAAACCTATGGCCTAGTCATATAGGGTACCTAGTCAGCCGAGTACCACAGCGAGAGGCAAAGGGGAGCAGGGCGGAGACGTACACAACCAGGGGGTGGGGCCTGGACGAGCATGCATCCCCGACGGAGACAGAGAAGAGTGGAGAGAGAGTGAGAGGCAGGAGGGAGAGAAGAGAGAGATGGAGAGAGAGGCAGAAGGTGGAGAAGAGCTGAAAGAGAAAGGGGGAGGAAGTAGGCGGAGGAGAGAGAAAGAGAGAGAGACACGGAGCAAGAGACCAGAGGCTCAGGAGAGAAGACTGACGTGGAGGAGAGTCCTGAAAATCCCATCTTATGATGGGCTAGCTGGCTAGTAATGAAAGAAGAACCCAGCACACTGAAGTGGTGGCATGTGCCATTGAAAGTGCTCTTGTGTTGCTATAAACGAGAGCAGAAGAAACTGCAGGAAAACGTAGTGCAGATGGACCTGTGACATGTACCGAAATAACCTCCAGGATTACAAAACCAAATACTTCCTAGGAAACCCTCCTGTAAAACCACCCAACAACAGGAACTGATCCATGACTCGGATGCCTAAGAGCTATGATCATACAAATAAATAACAGAGGTTCTGTTCGTCCTGCCCACGCAGATGCTGTTCTTCCAACCATTCTTAGACTGTCCCTAGAACAGCTGGTCTGTCAGGATCTTTGAAAGCTTGTTCTGTAATCAGCATAAATCTCCCCCTCCCCAAAGTCTGCCACTAATAAGCACAGGTAGATGATCACTCATTTTAAACGTAACTGCCTTTTATGAGAGATGGAGACAGAAAATTATACAACTGAATTTTTTAAAGGAAATGTTTTATTGCACGGCAGCTCAGATACTTGTGCATTTCAAGATGAATAACCATGAATGTTCCAATCGGCTTAGGTTTCTCAGCTCATATATTCCCGTTGTATTTCCAGATCTGCGATGAGAGAGCTCAATTAGCCCCCTGGGACAGTGTAACAACTTGACTCAGCCATTTATTTTGTTAAAGGGGGAAGCAGAAAGGTGCTGGAGGAAGCGGGAAGGGAGAGTGTATATTCTGCCTGTTTCACAAGTGCCGGTTCCCTGGGGATCTGGAAGGTTCCTGTATGCTGCTTATTATTTAACAACAACAGAAATGTCTCAATACACCAGAGTTTTACTATGAATGATGTTAGGAAGCTACTGAACGACATCTACCAAGATTTTTCCTATTTCTCTTTGGCTCTGGATTTTCATTAGCTGGTGGGGACCCTATAGTGACATATTCCAAACCCTTCCCAGTTTTCTCTTCTCTTCTAAGCTCTGCGTCCTTTTGACTTGTCTTTCCATTTGGGGACTGATCCATGTACAGTAAAACTCCAATAGTCCGGCATCCAATAGTCCGGCACTCCTGATAGTCCAGCATCAAAATGGCAAGAGCCTAGTGAGTGAGCTTCAGCAAAAAATGAGTCACAAGGTAACAGCGGCAGCAGCTGAACTGAGCAAAAAGGGTAAAAAAGGCTTAAAAAAAACTAAAACATTACAGTATACTGTATACAGTATGTACAATAAAAAGGGTTACAAACACTTTATATACAGTATATAATGCATACAGTATATATATAACCAGCGTATAGTACCTCCTGATAGTCCAGCATATCTGATAATCCGGCATCACCTAGGTTCCATAGGTTCCGGATTATCGGAAGTCTACTGTAGCTCCTTCCTGAGCCATTCCCTTGGTTGGCCAGAGGGGGTCGACAGAGAGCAGAGGGCCCTCATTTAGGACTGATTCAGGTGCCTTTGCAGTGCTTCTTGCCTTCTGCTGATCATTCATGCTCTTGTGAGCTCCACCGACCCATGTCTGTCTGTTGTGTGTGTTTGTACAGGTGCTGTTTGCTTTGAACCAAACCTTGCTGCAACATGAAAGTCTCCGAGCGGGCAGCTTGCAGGCCCCATACACTACTGAAGATCTCATCAAGCATTATAACTGTGGAGACCTGAACGCTGTCATATTTAATCATGATACTTCTCAGGTAAGAAGGTTCTCGTAGGGTAGCACCTCTCCTTAAAACTTAAGGCCGGGCGTTGTATGGCAAGGCATCATCGTTATTGTTGTTAATGATACCGCTTATCTGGTTTGTCCATCTCGCGCCCTCAATGGCAGCTGTGAAATCCCTATCCGGTGGTGTGTTCAAAATCAAATCCCAGATTAGTCTCTAATTTCTGACAGGGCCCCTGTCGCTGTAACAGAACACATCAAACTGCCCCTCAGCTTAAAAAATCTGTATCTAGCTTTCAAGTTTGCATTCTTGGCCCATGGAAGGTTTAAAGTACCCAGCTGTGTACAAGAAAAGGCTTTGCAGCCTATCAGGCTAGTTAAGTGCCCATCCTCACCTCACCCCTGTGAGGTAGAGAAGGAGTCCAGAGATAGGGAAACTGAGGCAGACAGCAATACAACGCATAGGGAGCCAGTAGTCAAGCAAGGAAGAGAATCCTGACTTTGAGTTCCACTCACATTCCTTGACCACAACCCCCTCTTTCTTCACCCATCAACGTGTTCTTCCTATTCCTCTTGTTCCTTTTTTTGTTCTCCATGGCTGTGTCTAGACTGGCCACTTTTTCCGGAAAATCAGCCGCTTTTCCGGAAAAACTTGCCAGCTGTCTACACTGGCCGCTTGAATTTCCGCAAAAGCACTGACGATCTCATGTAAGATTTTCTGTGCTTTTGCGGAAATATTATGCTGCTCCCGTTTGGGCAAAAGTCTTTTTCCGAAAAACGTTTGCGCAAAAGGGCCAGTGTAAACAGCAGAGATTTGTTTTCCGGAAAAAAGCCCCGATCGCGAAAAAGTGCTTTTGCGGAAAAGCGTCCTGCCAATTTAGACGCTCTTTTCTGAAAATGCTTTTAACGGAAAACTTTTCTGTCAAAAGTATTTCCGGAAAATCATGCCAGTGTAGACATAGCCCATGTGTGTCTCATTTGTCGGGGAAGAGCATGGTTTTACCTTTGGGTTGCTTTATGCATGTGTGGGGGGGGAGGGAAGGGGGCGGTAACAACCAAAAAGCTTTGCTAGGAATGTGTCCAAACAAAAGATGGAGTGAACCTTATGTAAATAGCCTACGAGGCTAAATAACTTCTCAAACATGCCACAGTCCAAGAATATTATATGTGTCTGTTGCAGCCCTCCGGTCTATGTTGATTTTAGTTATCTGGTGCTAATAAAGGCTTTCAGTGTAGCTGGAACCTGTCCTTTGCAGGCCAGCTGATGGCTTGTGGCAATCTGTGAGAGAGCATGCTGGCTTATTATGTATACGCTGATTTTTTTCTCACTGTTAACTGTTTGGGAGCAGTCTCAGGGTACATCTATGCTGTTGCACATTGCTCGAAATAAGCTACGCAGTTTAACCTCTGCAAATTGCGTAGCTTATTTCGAGAGCGCCTATTTCGAAATGTGGTGCTGTCTACACCGGGCCAAATTTCAAACAATGTTCAGCGCTGTTCTGACAAGTCCCTTAAACTTTGTGCAACGAGGTTTACGGAACGTTGGAATAACAAGCCCATTATTTCGAATGTATTTTGAAATAACGGGCTTCCTGTAAAGATGCGGAGAAACCTATTTCAGGATAACATCTGTGTAGATGTACCCTCAGAGGGATGGCTGTGTTAGTCTGTAGCTTTAACAACAACCAGTAGTCCTGTGGCACCTTAGACACTAACATAAAATATACAGTTTTATGAGCTGTCGTGGGTAAAACCCACTTCATCAGATGAGCTGGAGTGGAAATAACAGAACCAAGATATTTAAAACAGGTGGGAAATCCACCAGTCCTACAATAGACAGGTACTCTTCCCCTGTCTCCTCTCCCTCTCCCCCCCCCCCCCCCCCCCCCCCTTTTTTCCATTTGATTTTTTTTTTTTTTATTTTTTTTTTTTTTTTTTTTTTTTTTTTTGTTTTTT